GTACACGATTAACTGCAAGCCAACTGGATGTCTAGGACTGCTTCCTACCGGCGCTTCATCCCTGAACTCATGCCTTGGAAAGCTTGCCTTAAGTGAGATTTGTTAAAATGTAACATACTAAAAGGAATTTAAATTTGAATAACAGAGTCCTTTCTGGCAGTTTGGATCCTTTGGGAACAAAGTGTATTTTCACACTTGGGAAAAATAATTTCCAATTATTAACTGCAATCCAGCAAACTAGTCATAGCAACATATACAGTAGACCACTCAGAGTTATGGCTTATGACATTGAAGTCAACCTGAATATTCAGATATGGATTCCAGGCTTTCTTGTTTCCTTCTGCAGACTGACTCCATTGAGGCACACTGACTTTGAATATGTCACGCTCCATATTCTTCTGTGTCTCTCTGAGCCATGATAGACCCTCCCCACTGTTGGGAGGCCTCACAAGGGAGAAGGGACAAGAACTGTAATGTAAATATATTTTTTCAGTAATTCCATTAGCATTTACAAGTTTGCACAATAATCTCAGCACTGGAATTCACAGTTTTTGACCTTGGAAAATTTTCTTGATCTCTGTGATTTCAACTCATTCCTCAGCTGCAAAATAAAAATACAGAGCATGTGTCTCATTGAGTTATAGGGAATAAATGATTTCATAAGTTAATTAATGTATATTATTAATATAGGTATGGCATTTATCCTAAAGGTATGCAATGTAGACACACAACCTATGGTAGCTGTTGCTGCTGCTGCTGTTGTTAAATCTTGTACCCAGGGTTAAGTGGTCCTCAATGTATTTTTAGCAAGTAAACCAGAGCTTATGCATCCAAATAAACCCTGTCTTCAGAGTAGTACCTTTGGATGTTATCCTTTTAATTCAATACTGGTGGCATTGCTTAAAGTATTTCTGAATGCTTCTTTGGGAATGGCTATCAGAATCCATTTATAAGCAAAGCAGAAGGGGGAAAGCCTTTGCAAGGCATTCTGTGGTTCTCATACTTGCAGGGTGGAGGCACCACTTGGATGCAAGACCCTGTAATGTCAGGATCTTTGCTATTGCCATTTTAAGGAGAGGAAATGAGCCTCTTGGAGGTAAGTTGCTTGGCCAAGGTTACACAACTGGGACATAAACAGCTGAGGCTTAAATGCAGCTCTAGCTGACTCTCATGTTCTTTCCTCGACACCATGCCATTTCTCAAGAAATCAGTCAACTCTTTATTATTTTAGATTTATTTTATGTTTCGGAAGAAATAGGGTTTCCAAATTTAGTCACTCTAAAATTAAAATTCATTCCTAAATTACCTAGGTTTACTGCTGTTGATGAAATTTAATATATAATGTTTCAACTCTAAAACAATTTCAAATGAAGCAGTTTTGACCATTGGTACTGGAATTGCAATAGGTATATGGCCTCTAGAAGACTTTATAGATATTTTTTTTTGGATATTTAAGGTATTACATTTGTTTTTCTATAGCTGATCACACCTCATATTTAAAAGATGGAAGAACCACTTGAGTCTG